GGAAAAAGTTCCTAACTGTCAGGGTGGTTAAACACTGGAATAAATTGCCTTGGGAGGTTGTGGAATCTCCATCTCTGGAGATATTTAAGAGTAGGTTAGATAAATGTCTATCAGGGATGGTCTAGACAGTATTTGGTCCTGCCATGCGGGCAGGGGACTGGACTCAATGACCTCTCGAGGTCCCTTCCAGTCCTAGAATCTATGAATAACTCAAATGACAAGAGCCAACTAGTGAAAACAATAGGATCAGATCCACAAAAAGGGATTTAGATGTCCAAGTCCCAGTTTTAGTCACTACTGTGATCTACACAACCCCTGCTCAGCTGCCACCTGACCCTGTACATGCCTAAATTGTTACAGTAAAAGTCCCTCTGGGCATGCATCCAGACACCTGTCTCCTGCCTAAACCCCAGTGTGACCCTCTAATCAGGGGAAGATAGGAATTCCTCTGTTCAGCTTGCCTGTGGGGCCCAAATCCTGTAGGAGTGCTCAAAGCAAGCCTAACGCCACACAAAATGTGTGAGTACCCTAACCACTGAGCTAAACTCCCTCCCCGACCATTTTATTTGGAAGTAGGCAGGTGCCTATGCTGTTTCTTGCAAGGGCTTAGGTGCAACCATCTGACTCTAGGGGAGGGGTTCCCAGCTGTGGATCACAAGCAGAGATAGGTGTCCCTTGCAGCCCAGATATCAGGTTGCCAACAGTCCTGTATTATAAGGGATGTTCCTTGTTTAAAAATTGCTTGTCCCTTACTAAATCAGTATGGGATGCCATTTCACCCTTATTTCAGCCAGGGGTATTGTGGTACTGGAGCATCGAGCTGGCATCTGAAATCCAGGATGGAGCAGCAGTCTGGCACTTTGCAAAGTGCTGCTGGCTGGCAACTTGACGAAGGCTCCTTGTATAGGCACCGACCCTGAGGCTGGAGCTACAAGCACCAACTTTCCAATGTGCCAGGGATGCTCACTGCTCAACCGCTGGCTGTGCCACAGGCCCTGCCCCCACTGCTCTCCCCTGAGCCTGCCATGACCTCACTCCTCCCCCTCAGAGCCTCCTGCAGACCACAAAACAGCTGGTCGGGAGGAAGGGGGAGGCTCTGATCTGCAAGGCTGCCAGTGGGTGGAGCTGATGGGGGGCTGCTGACCTATTATTATTATTAAATGTGGCTCTTTGGCAATGTACATTGTTAAATTCTGCCTCCTTCTCAGGCTGGCCACCCCTGGTTTAGTCCATTCGCCACTGATCCGAGCTGCATTATAACCCTCTAAAAAGCAACAGAGGGTCCTGTGGCACCTTTGGAATGTCACAGAGCTGTCTGCTTTCAGCAGAATATCTGGTGCTTTTCATAGAATCAAAATATATTA